AGACACTTATCACAATGGGTAAAATTCAAAGCACTCAAGACCAAATATTGATAAAGATGTGAATCTACAGGAATCCTTATTTATTGCTGGGAATGGAAGATGGTATACCTGCTTTGGAAGACAGGCAGTTTCTTATAAACTAAACATACCCCTACCATAAAATCTACCTCCTAGATTATACTCCTTGGTATTTACTCAAATGAGCTGAAAACTTGTCTTCAGACAGAAACATGCAAATGAATGTCTATAGGTATTTTATGTATAATTGTCAAGACTTACTAGAATTAAGCAAGATATCCTTCAGTGGTAGACTGAACAACTTGTGGTTTATCCATGTGATGAAATACTGTTCAGTGATAAAACAAGATGAGCTATCAGGCAAGCCATGAACAGACAAGGAGGTAACTGTTGTGTATTGGTTCTTACTATTGCAGATTTACTATTTATGGCTTAAGTGAAGTTGTTTTGATCTACTTGTTTATGTTTCAAGTAAAAATGTTTTGGTCTAAGAGTGAATTTGCACATGCACCCCAATGTTCATAGAAGCATTAATTACAATGCCAAGACATGGAAGCAACCTAAATGTCCATCGACAGATGACTGGATAAAGAAGTTGTGGTATATTTATACAATGGAATATTACTCGGCTGTAAAAAAGAATAGAGTAATGCCATTTGCAGCAACATGGATGGACCTAGAGATCATCATTCTAAGTAAGCCAGAAAGAGAAAGAAAAATGCCATATGATATCACACATATACAGAATCTAAAAAAAGAAAAAAAGAGGACACTAATGAACTCATCTACAAAACAGAAACAGATTCACAGGCACAGTAGACAAACTTATGGTCACCAGGGGAAAGGGGATGGGAAGGGATAAATTTGGGAGTTTGAGATTTGCAGATGTTAGCCACTATACAAAAAAATAGATTTAAAATTTTTCTTCTGTATAGCACAGGGAACTATATTCAGTATCTCGTAATAACCGTTAATAAAAAGAATATGAAAACAAATATATGTATGTATATACATGACTGGGACACTGTGCTGTACACCAGAAATTGACACATTGTAACTAACTATACTTCAATTTCTTTTTAATGTGAATTTGTTTACATTGGGGAGGCCATGTGAATGAAGATGATGACATCAAAATTGTGCTCATCATTAATACGAATGTATGGAGGAGCAACACTCATGTGATGGACATTTAAACTTTAAATACCAAGAATCTGTGAGAACTTTACTGAGAGCATTTGGTCTGGGCAAAGCCACTGTCTGTTGATCTAAACATCTCTAGGACGATCATGAGACACTTGCTCTGGCTGTGGCCAGGCTACTCTTGGACAGCACTGGTGTTAAACCTTGCAGTGAGGCACTCTCAGGAAGAGAAGGGGTATTTGTTCCTGCCTTGGTGGGCCTACTCCTCATAGGCAGTGGGGCAAGCCATGTAATGGTCCCTGGAATAACCTCGTTAGGAGCAGCCTGCCTTGCCTGCCAACACCAGTGCCTTCACCCAGTAGCTACATCTCCCACCAGGGACGGACCTAAACTGGCATCTGATACCCAGCTTTTATTTGGAAGGACTGACTCTACAAGAATTCATATAAAGGTACAATTCAACTACATTTGGACTTTCTTTCTTTCATCTTCCCTTTAACTGGAACAATAATGTAATTATCTATCATTGGTTTGGGGTATGTTATTTCTTTACTGGCTTATAAAGAGACATTTCCCTGTTTGCTATTGGCTTATGAAATATTAGAAATCATAATTCCTGTAGTGAATCTGTGTTAAATAAATTACTGGCAAAGGCAACCTCAGTCTCTGAGCATGATTTGCGCAAACAAAACAGGAAACTTAACAGCATATTGTTAAGCGAAAGAAGACACTCTGACAAGGCTACACTTCATGATTCCAAGTATATGACATTCTGGAAGAGACAAAACTATGAGCCAGTAAAAAGATCTTTGCTTGTGAAGGATTTGGGGGTTGAGGGTGGGATGAATGGCTACGTGGAGCACAAGGTATTTTTAGGGAAGTGAAACTATTCTACATGATATAGATATGATGGACACATGTCATTACACACCTGGCAAAAAACCATAGATTGTGTAACACAAGGAGTCAATGCTAATATAAAACAATGGACTTTTATGCATCAGTATTGATCCATCAATTGTAACAAATATGCCACCATAATATGAGATGTAAAAAAATAACACAAACTATGTGGATGCAGAGCGGTCAAGAGGGAACTCTCTACTTTCTTTTTCTGTAAACCTAAAATATTCTAAAGAACCTGAAATCTCATCATTTCATATCTTACAACTTTTTGGAAGTCTAGTAGTTTCTTATGACTTTTTAAATCCTTTACAAGTATTATTTAAAACTAACAGAGAAATTTATATACATACTTTACTGTTTAATAGTATGTTTTGGGGGGAGGGTATAGCTCAAGTGATAAGAGCGCATGCTTAGCATGCACAAGGTCCTGGGTTCGATCCCCAGTACCTCCTCCAAAAATAAATAAATCTAATTACCTCCCCCTCTGCCAAAATAAAATAATTAAATGATACAATTTTTTAAAAGTCTGTTTTAATTAACTTTTGCTACTTTAAATTTAATTTAAACTTTTCTACAGAGGAAATCATTCTAAGATTTAATTCTTTAAACACTAATGGGTATAAAACTGCAAACTATAATAAGGGAAAAATTTCAAATGTCTAGCTAAAAGGACAAGTGACATCAGAGTGTGTCCCTCTACTATATTTCACACTGGGGATATTGTCAGGAATGAATAGCATATTATAATGCCTTAGGGGGTTGGATTTAATCCATGAAGAAACCTGCTAGGATTTTCAAAGATTTCCCCAAGTCTGAGTAGTTTTTTTGCATATCAATTAAAACAGAAATTCAGTAGTTTTTTCTACTCATCAATCCAAGTAGAAATTCATTTGCCTTAAGAATTGTACAGCCTTTTAAATATCAAAGTTCTGTATGGTCACACACAAAAACTGATCTAAAAATGAAAAATGTGCCTGAGAACTTAAGCACACCCATCTCACAGCTTGAGATCTTGATGCCTAAAAGGAACAAAAATTCTGTGTGGTTCCAGGATTTCCTTGCCTTACACACATTTTTCAATCAACTTACTTTTCAAAGCCTAAGAAATCAAAAATCTTACAAACTTACCAAGCAAATAAAATTGCAAACTGCTAAGGGAAACTAGACTTAAAGGACTGAAATATTCAATAGATAAGGGTACCTAAAGAAGAGAAACACAAATATTTAAATCAGCTCAGCCCGCTTGCCCACAGTTAACAAGGAAAACCCACATTTAGAAAGTTAAAAACAATTCCAGGCCTGGGGTCTGGATACCCCAGGCTGAGATATAACCCCTAAGGCGGGCCCGTCCCTGGTGAAGGGGGTAGACCCTAAACAGTCATGGAACAAACTCACATTTTCACAGTGAGGAAGCTCTCAGGGAGATGCAGTTTAAGATTCTGACTCGAACTCCCAAATTCATAAACCCTTTGTCCACGACACAGAACTCCTGAACACAAACTTTTTCATTACACAAATTACACTATGAGTACACCTATATCATGGATGCAAAACTCAAACATAAACATGTAAAAACATCCAGGCCAAAGAAAACCCCCATCGTGGACTCAGGGGGTGCTTTTTTTTGGAGTCACTGGCCTCAGGCCTCTGCTCCCCAGTCACAATACTTTGGATCACCACTGATAATTTAAATGACAAACCCAGTGTTTCCAATCCAGCCAAATCACTCTTCCCAGTGTTTATGTGTAAAGGAGGAAAGAAAATTATAAGGCAATTTTATTTGTTCAACAAGAAAACTCACAAATGTCTATTCCTATCAGAAAATAAAGATGTCAGTTTCTTACTATTTCCAAAAAAAGAAACTGATTTGTAAACAATTAATCACACTGGAACACTTCTAGATGTTGCAAATCTAAGCCCTGATATGCTACTTGAAATCACCCAAAAGAACAGACCTCAGAACATAACTACATCCACTCAGGGTAAGAAAAAGGGGAACAATATTTTTAACAAACAGCATATAATAATGCAATTTTTTCTGAAATTTCACCTTTATTGCCTCTTTGGAAAAACTCTATACCGTCTCTCGAGGTCTACTGAATAAATAAAATTTAACTTCATTGAAAAACTAAGCCTCAAATAAGTGAATAAATTTTTTCAAAGTACGAAACGCAAAGTGGCAGTGATGAAAAGACAGATCATTCAGGAAGGTTTCCCTAGAGGACCCTCCAACCCAAAGGTCTTCCCATAGAATGTCTGTGACCAAGAAAGAATCTGAGAGGAGAGTTACCTGGATTACATACAACGTATTCCGGGTGGTTATTCTCTGATTTCTTGTCATATCTATAAATATAAACCTTTAAGAAGAGCCATCCATGGCTCTGTGAATAAGTGATAAACAAAAGACTGCACAGGTTTGAAATGTACCACAGAGGAAAACAGTTAATATTGAACCTATGAACGGAGTAGGTAGGCGAAGGATGGCATTTGGGAATGGGGGGGGGGTGGAATCTGGCAATTTAAGGATTGTCTGCCCTAGGAAGCCCTAGGCTTGGGGAGACAGGGTCGTGGATTTGAGAACCTCCTCAAACACTTTAAAAAAGTGAGAGTAAAATGATTTCCCTGGAAAGAAAGGGGGTCATCCCACAGATCACAGCCCCTCTTCCCACACACGAACCCTGGAGACCAAGTCACGATTGCCCCGTGACCCTCCCCATGGCCACCGCACAATTTGGGGGAGACTCGGATGCGCAGGACGGGACCGGACGCCGAGGGATCCCCGCTGTCGGCCCAGCCCCGCCCCCGCTGCGTGCCGCGTCACCGGCCGACTCGGGTCGGAAGACTCCGGAGTTGGCCGCGGCGAAGCCCGGTTCCATCAGCCCCCCGGGCGCCCCCAGCCCCACTGTCTCCCAGCACCCGATCTGCACACTCACCATTTTTTGGCTTCAGGGGTTTCTGATCGTCCACCTTACGACTGCTGCGGCAAGTGCAGGTCACCGCAACATGAAACGTGGCGCAGCCACCTGGGGCCTTTAAAGTCAGCAGAAGGTGATGTAGCCGCGGCCAGAGCGAGCGAGCGGCACCGAGCACGCAGTCCACGCCGTCCACCGTCACCCGAGCGGCGCCGCCACGTAAAATAACCGGCGACTCCCCTGATTGGACAGTTCACAGGGCCCCGCCCCCCGTGCCTGAGTGACAGCAGGTCAGAGGTCGAGTCTTTGAGCCGACCTTGTCCCGGAAGTGGACCGGAACTGTCCTCTCCACCAGCATGACCTGGAACCATAAGGGTGTGAGGGCCTCACAGAACTGTGGTCCTTCTTCACAGACACTTAAAACTGACTCCGCCATACGTAATGAGTCTGGCTCCACTTTGATCTTTGGCCTTTTCCTAGGGGAGACATCTGTCCAGCCCTCCCCATCCCCACTCATTTGGTACTTTGAAAAGTCCCCAGGCCTCCGGGACACTTGGCTCTGGTGGGAGGACGGACCCCACAGTCCTAGACCAGGGCTGAAGCTTCAGATACTAGCACGTGTGAAACACTGAGGCAGAGAAACCACCAGAAAACATTTTTAATGTAATTCCATTAATACTGATTTGTTCACACTGTGGTACCAGGGAGGAAAAGGGAGGGGGGAAGATTAGGAATTTGGGATTAATAGATTCACACTACTATATATAAAACAGATAAACAACAAGGACCTACTGTATAGCACAGGGAACTATATTCAATTTCTTGTAATGACCTGTCATGGAAAAGAATCTGAAAAATAAATGTATATATGTATATATATGTATATCTGAATCGCTTTGCTGTGCACATGAAACTAATACTGTAAACAGACTATACTTCAATAAAAAATGAGAAATTAAAAAAATACTGGTAGGGGGGTGGGTATAGCTCAGTGGTGGAGTGCATGCTTAGCATGCACAAGGTCCTGGGTTCAATTCCCAGAACCTCCGTTAAAAAAAAAAAAGTTAATTAAAAAGAGAAAAAAAATACTAATTTTATTGAAAGATTAAAGGAGGTTAAAATTGAAAGCTCATTGCTGAGTGAAAAATAATACATGGTGAAGGTATGAAGGCTAAACAAAGAATCACAACCATGGTCATGTTTGGGGCAGGACTGAGTTGAGTCATGGACTAGAACATCAGGTGGCTCTAACTACTGCCCACTGGCCGTTTATGAATATTCATGATGGTTCCAAGGATGTTTCTATTACTACTAAATCTTACCACAAAACATTTTGTACACTTTTTCCTGAATATATTTTATGATAAAAATTTTAAGAAGAAATTCAGTTTGGAAAATAACTTGTACAGGTTTGTTTGCCCTGTAAGGTGGCAATCTGAGTTTTCATTCACAGTTTTGGCAGCAAAAATTAGTAACAAGCCATGTGTCTAGTTAGAAAAAAAAATGGATTACATAAATTCATCATCATATGTACCTTTTTAAAACAAAGGGTGGCATGGACTGATACGTAAAAATCTGGAGTATTTATCAATAGAACAATTAAGCAAAGTGTACCTAATCTTTTCTATAACTGTTATGGTAACCGCCTGTGTTAGATGGGCCCCACCCTAGATCTCGTTGACAGCACATTACTGCCAAGAATGTATGAAAGAGGTTATTACTTTCATAGTTAAAGTGTCTGGGGAGGGCAGGGCAGGCCTCTCAGGCAGCTGGGAGATGCCTTGACAGAACAAGGGAAGGAGCCTGGCCTGAGTTTTTCATTGTGATTAGGTGGTGGGCTAGGGTGAGATTCTGCCCACAGAGGCAGGGGCTTCCAGGGATTTAATCTCTTGCTAGCACCAAAGGAGTGAGCACCTAGGCCTTCCTGTCACCATGTACAGATGTGGGACACCAGGAGAAGAAGGCAGGGTGAGGCTTTTAAAGCTGTCAGCAATGAAACTAAAAAAAAATGGAATCAGAGTTCTGGATTCTCGTCTGGCACGTAAAGAGCTTAGAAGGTGACATTCCTATCCTCACCAGAAAAAGCGAACAAATTTAAAATTAACAACTCAGATCTAGCAAAGCATTAATCACAGGGCTGTTTCCAAAACTAGAAAGTGAGACAGAAAAACAGCAATTTTGAAATGTGCCCAGCAAATTCTGTTCTTAACAATGCCTGTCCTCAAAGAATCTGTTTTACCAGCACCTAACTGACATGGTGGGAGGAAAATTGCCGACTTGAGACCCCCGGAGCCTTTCTGCCTGACCTAAGCTGAGGGTGAGGGGGAACTTATAAAGACTTGTGAGACTGATAGCCTTTTTGAAAAAATAAATTAAAAAAACTCCTAACATTAAACACATACTGTGTTTTCCTAAACCACTTCTCCAACTCTCCAGTTCCAACTGAGTGTCTTACAATTCAGTTCAATTCTACCACTAGCCAGCGTTAACACCAGCCTTCACAATTTCAGGGCTCAGTTCTGTAAGACTGCCCCAGACATTAGATGTCAGCTGCAAATGTGGGACCCAGGTCACACACATTTCTGCATGGTCAACAACAAATTCAGAGGTTGCCTATAATCCCTCATGTTTGTTACGTGATGGAACAACTATCAGAACTGAGCAAAATGCTTTACTTATTACCATCAGTTTATTTTATAAAAGATACAGTCAGGAACAGCCATATGGAAAGATTGAACAGGGTGAAGTGGGGGACAGGGGTTAGGGAGCTTCCAAGCCCCCTCCAGGCATGACAGCCTACCAGCACACCAATTCAGATCCCTCCGAATCCCAAGGTTTAGAGGTTTTGATGGAGTTTCCTACCTTGGGGGTTTTAGGTTGGGAGCTGGGCTGAATGTTCTAAGGCTCTAATCATAGCTTAGACTTCCTGGTTTGACCAACCCCATCCTGAAGCCATCTATGGGCAAGCAAACCATCGGCCTCATTAGAACATAAGATGCTCTGATCACTCTTACCACACAGGAAATTCCAGGGGCTTTAGGAGGTCTTTGCTAGGAACCATGGACGAAGATCAAATATCTTTCTCATTCTATCACAGAAGGCCACAGCCCACCATCACAGACAGAGACCCAATCATGGGACTATGGAACCTCAACATACCACAACATCACGAAGCCTCCTGTCTAATAACGGAGTGAAACACTGCAAGAACGGTATGCTTCTGAACTTATTTACAAGTCTCTGGACTACCCCCCAAAGATGACATGGGAGACAAAAGCAAGGACACTTGAAGATACGGCAGCCACAGCAGATAATCAACACAGATCAAACCCTAAGTCAGATTAACCCAAAACCTCACACTACAGGCCTGTATAACTCAGTTCCTTTTCACAGTACTTTACGTCTGGTGTTCAACAAAAAATTTAAAGGTACCATGAAAGACTTAAAAAACACATCTCCAGGAGATAGGATGAGCAAAAGAACCTGACTCAGAGGTAGCAGATATGTTGGAATGATCAGACCAGAAACTTAAAGCAACCATGATTAATATGCTAAGTGCTCTGGTGGAAATAATAAATGATATGCAAGAAGAGATAGGTCATGTATGCAGAGATGGAAACTCTAAGAAAGAGCCAAAAGGGAAATTAAAGAAATAAAAAACAAAAGAACTGAACAGAAATAAAGAATTCCTTGGCAGTGGGGGTGGGGGTGGGGGGCCACTTATCACTGCAGTGGAAATATGTGAGGAAAAAGAATCAACAAGCTTGAGAAGATGTCACTAGAACCTTCCAAACTAAATGCAAAGAAAAGAAACGAATAAAAAGACAGAACAGAAATCCAAGAGCTTTGGGACAATTGCCAAAGGTGTAACATACACATAGTGGGAATACATGAAGGTGCAGATAGGAACAGAGCAAACAGGTGAATCAATAATGAGTGAGGTTTTCCACAAAATTAGCAAAAGACACCGAAACACAGATCTAGGCAGCTCAGAGGTCACCAAACACGATAAAACCTTAAAAATGCACACCTAGAAATATATATTCACACTCAAGAAAAATGAAAGACAGAGAAAATCTTGAAAGAAGCTAAGGGAAAAAAATCTTAGTTATAGAGAAACAAGGATAAGGAACAAATTGGACTTTTTTTTCAGAAATTATGCAAGCAGGAGGAAAGTTTTTCTTTTTTTTTTTAAACTAATTACTTTATTGAATAAATACAATACCAAACAAAATGCATTCAAATGCTTTCTTTAAAAAATCAATTTTAAAGGCCTTTCTATTCAGGCTAATGACAAACAATAAAGGCAGATATGCTAGTTTAACATAATTGGCTGATTTTATACAGCACTTACATCTTTTAATCCACAAGTATATTATTAAATGACAGAGAACATCTAATACAATTATTTCTACAAAACTAGGAAATAAATTTCTAAGAAAGAACCAACTGGGCCTTCAAGTCTATCCCTTTGCAGACTCAAAGGGGCCTTAGCATGGAGACACTGACCTCAGGCTTCTACTCCCCCTGGAGGAGCTCCAGACTAGCACTGATATTAGAAATAACACAAACGCAGTGTTTGAACAATCCAGCAAAATCACTCAAATCCAGGATTTCGTGTAAAGGACGGAGGGAAGATTGCACAATAAAACTCACAGCTATCTACAACTTTCAGGAAACAATGATGTTAGTTATTATTTCCATGGCAAGAAACTGTTCTGTAAACAATCATATTTGAGCCCTTCTGTTCTGCAAGTCTAAGCCCTAGAATTACATTTGAAAGCACTCAAAATGAGTAACAGATTCACAAACACCCTCTAAGGGCAGGGGGAAAAAAGGGAAACAAGTTTTAACACAAGCAATGCAATACCGTGGTATATTACTTTTCTGAAATTCACCTCTTTCTTCAGTTTACATTTATTGTAAAATGGAGACATTTAAAAGACGAATAAAGCTTTTTAGGGTGACAACTCCAGGGAGGGACGATTCTGACGGGACAGATCACCCAAAGTTTCCCAAGAGGAGCCTACACCCAAAGGACTTCCCATAGGGAATGGGATGCCTGTGCCCAGGAAAGATTCTGGGAGGAGAGGCACAAGGATTTCATACAGCGCAGTTCCACGTGGTTATTCTCTGCTTTCTTCGCATGTAAAATATCTACAAACGAAAAAATTAACCTTTAAAACTGAGCCGTTCACTGGGTGTGGGAAAATTATAACAAAATACTGTTTCTGATTGAAATGCTCCATGGACGACAAATACTTGATAATGATGCTGTGAATCAGAGAGGAATTTGGCTTTGGGAAGGCGGGCTGGGATCTGGATATTTAGGGATTTCTTGCCAGTCCCTTAGGAAGAGCTAGCCTGTGAGGGGAATCGGGTCGTGAATTTGACACTCTGCTTCGCAAGCATTTGGAAAACTCAGGAGGCAAAATTTCCCCTTGCGAAGAAAAATGGGACTGGGACCCCACAGATCACGCACAAAACCCAGACACCGAGTCTGATGACCCTCCCGGTAGTGATCGCACAATCTAGGGAGACGCGGGGCTGCCGGCGCAGAGGTGTCCAGAGAGGCTCGGGGTCTGGGCCGAAGTCACAGCCCGCAGTGAAGGGACAGGATGCCCGGGGTTTCGGCTGCCAGCCCAGCCCCCACACTGAGAGCCCGAGAGGACTGAGGTCAGAGGGGCGCCCCCAGCAGACTTGGGTCCACAGACTCTGGAGTGGACAGCAGAGGGCACAGGTATAGACTTGGCCAGTTCAGCTCAACCCCT